TGGGATTATAGTTTTCATAATCCAGAGCAATGACAGGTAGTCCTCAATTTACAACCATTTATTTAGTGATTGCTCAAAATTACAACAGCACTGAAGAAAGTGACTTAGGACCATTTTTCGGCATCCCCAGGTCCTGTGATGAAAATTCAAACACTTGGCAGCTGGCAAGTGTTTGTGATGGTTGCAGTGTCCCAGGTCAATGCAACTCCTTTCTAGTGGACAGTGCCAATTGGAAAAAGTTGGTTTAGCTGTGGTATTTGTGATGAGAGGTATGGTTGCTTCAAAGAAAATAGATGTTCCCAGAGGATTTGGAGAAGTATCTCCTAAAGCTTCATTCCAAGGCATTCTTCTGCAGAAGGGGTTTCTATTTCTCTACACATTTTCAGGATGTGAGAGAATTTCAATCAATTTCTTAGAATGGCCTTTTTGAGCTTCTTCTGTTGATTCGAAAGCAAGACAAGAAACAACGGATGGGAACTGAACAATTCAGGAGAAACAGTGAGAACAATGAATCAGAGGAACAGCTTGCCTGCAGAAGTTGTGAGGGCTTCATCACTGGAAGTTTTGAAGAAGAGATTGGAAAGCCACCAGTCTGAAATGGTATAGGGTGTCCTGCTTGAACAGGGGCTGGTATAGATCTCCAAGGTTGCTTTCAGCTCGATTCTGATTGATTGATTGATTGATTGATGTAGGTGGCCAAGGAGATATTCTTAATGTTTTCTCTTACTTACCTCTGTTGCTCTAGACCTTCCTGGTTGTCCCAAGTTCTCCATCAGAATTGGTCTCCTAAGATGAGTTGCTTTCTGGGGTTTTCTTCTGAGAATGAAGGAGCAACTAGGGAGACTACAGAGGGCTAGAAAAATGGATTGTGTAGCAAAAGGCTTGGGTGTTTGTGCCACTCTTTTTAACCACCTCATCACGGAAGTGCAGGAATATCACACTGATTTTAAAAACGGAGTTCCCTCTTGTAGACTTGGGGCTGGATGTTATTGAGGAATTGGGGGAAGGGAATTCAGTGCCAGTTATCCAACTCACCTACAATGAGCTGATTGGTTGAAAAAGTTAATTTTTAACCCTTTCCTGGGGGGATGTTTTTTGGCAATCCACAAGTGGTGCCTGTAACTACTGGTCTTAGCTTGAAACTTGCAGTAATTTGCAGATGAGTTCCCAAAGCAGCTGGCAATTTGCAGATGGGTTGCAAATCAGTTGGCAAATTGGAAAGGGCTTCTTACATTTTTTTTAATGCAAGGACCTCTTTGATAAGTATCTGCACTGAATTTAGGATGTCTTCTTTCTCCTTTCTTCTTTAATCTGGCTATCACCCATTAACTTTCATTCAGGCTCAAAGTGTTATCTAAGGTCAGTGTTTGTGAGCTGCCATTTGGCAATTTGCTTGTAGAATAAACCAAATTCCAATGCAACATGTGAATTTCATGAATTTCTGCAGGATAGTGAATTAAGCATGTTATACATATCTGTATTTTTGCTCAGAAATAATTCTGTGAAGTTCAAGATAGAATATTTCCAAGAACAGTACAGAGTATATCTGAATTTAAATATAATAAAGTTAATCAACTAAGATTTTTAAAAAAAAAAACATTATTTGGGTGAAATCTTAGTCTGGACTCAGCCCCATTTTTGAAGGGAAATCCACCTTCAAACATTTTACGTGACTAACTGTATTAATATATTCTATGCATTTGTTTTGTTTTGTTGTTCATTTATGTATATTTTAAATACTGCATCTTTTCATTGGTTAATTGGTGCTTAACTGAAATGGCTTCATTGTTTGATGAGCCTTTTTCATTACTTCTTAAAGTCTGGTTGGTTAAAAGAGGCTTTTGAAGTTATTTCATTTAACTCTTATTTTTCTTTGAACAGTGTTAGGCTTTTCCTTCTGTGCTCAATATTTTATTTTATGTATTTTGAATCTTCTTCAAAATATTTAGAAGACCAATATGAAACTGCAACAAGAAATATGAAATTAGGAATAGAATTAAACCAATGTCTAGCATTTTATTTGTTGACCTTATTCTAAATTAACTTTGAATGCAGATGTGACTCTTTGTGGCATGAGTAAACAAGAGAAGGGTGCGAATTCCTCCTTCTCTCAATATTTCTGAGACTTCTCTGAATTGTCTTTTGGGGTTCTTGGTGCTCCTTGAATTGTTTCTGTGTGAATTGTCTTCTTGGCAAACTTTGGGGGGGATGCTGAATTTGGGACATTTTGGGATTTAAATAAACTACTTTGCAACTATGAGTAGAAAGCGCCATCTATTGGCTAGAGATCAGATTGCAACCACATCTATTTCTTATTAATATAAATTTCTTGCAGCTTTGCTGCGTAGTGCCCTCATTTTTTTTGTCCTATTTGGACAGCGCTTTAAGAAGCTTCTAAGGCAAGTGATATAAAATATGATACATAAACAATTTCCTCAAGAGAAAACAACTGTTGAGCAATTCTGTCTGCTCCAAATAGGTAGTTATTTAATTGCTCTAATCCAGGGGTGGGATTCAAATTTTTTAAACAATCGGTTCTGTGGGCGTGGCTTAGGTGGTGGGCGTGACTTGCTGGTCATGTGGCCGGGTGGACGTGGCTTGGTGGTCATGTTATTGGCTGGGTGTGGCCAACTCAATATCACTCACATTGAGGCACGCATCTCCTCACCTGGCCTCTCATGACTGTGGGGATGGGGCAAAAGTCGTAAGTGTGAAAAATGGTCATAAGTCACTTTTTTCAGTGCCATTGTAACTTTGAATGGTCACTCCACACAAGCAAAATACCAGCAAAGGAGGGGGAAAAAAACTCCAGAGCGGTTCTTGAGACAGGAAGTCTAGTCCTGCCAAGAATGTAATAAGGGTTAATGGAGAGGCAGTTTCTGTAAGCAACACCAGAATGTTTCCTTCCTGCCTTTTTTACAGGATTAGGCCAGTAATTTCTTCTAACAACCGGTTCTCCCAACTGCTTAGAATGTTAACAACTGGTTCTAGCGAATAGGTGCAAACTGGTAGAATCCCACCCCTGCTCTAATCACAACTTGCATGGCTGGCTAACATATCTGGTACTCAGAGGTGGTGGTGCAATCTTTTGCTACATGCCTCTCTTCCAAAGGCCATATTTATGGGAAGAACAGTTGGGCTGGTAAAGACAGAAAACTTGGCCACAAATTTTATTCAATTATAAGGTCGTATTGCAACTCAGACTTCCTAAAAAATGACTTTTGGATAATGATACCACGTGCAGGTATTTGCAAAGAGAAATGTTTTAATTAATTTTAAGGGTGTGTCTGATTAATTTATTCTTCAAAAGGTTGCGAGTTATTACACACAAGTAGTTACTTGAAGAGGCAATCCCAGATTGTTGAAGGTACAGATAATCCTCACCTTACAACCACAGTTGCGACCAAGTTATAAGCTTGGGGACCAGTTGTAAGTCACTTGCTTTCAATGCTGTTTAAGTAGTCATTAAATCGATGGTTGTAAGTCGAGGCCTACCTGAGTAGGAATAGAATATCGTTACATAACCTTTCTTTCATAGACCTTGTGCTTCCAAATGCGCTGGATTGTGGTACCCAGAATTCCCTGTCCCGGAAGCTTATCTTGCAAGGATCTATCTGTACAGATCATCCCAAATGAAAGGCAACATACAGGTGTGTGTGTGTGTGTGTGTGTGTGTGTGTGTGTGTGTGTGTTACCTGCATGTTTGATTGAAGATCAGGATCAGTTCTTGCCCTGGGAAATTGCCTTCTAAGATGCAGTCTGGCTGAAAGAACAACAGAAAGACAAGAATTCTGTTATAGTTATGTATGGACATTTTTTTTATAGCAGGGATGTCCAACCTTGGTAACTTTTAAGACCTATGGATTTCAACTCCCAGAATTCCCCAGCCAGCCATGGTTGAAGCCGAAGTCCATAAGTTGTCAAGGTTGGACACTCCTGATGTATAGCATTCGTCTCTCCTTGAGGTGCGTATCTTAAGTATCTTGGGGAAGAAGATGGGCTTTAAGAAGCCTCAGCTGGAAGAAGGAGATGGTTTCAACCTAGGGGATTTATGGCTGGCAGTGCCAGGATTATGATTAGGGGTAGGGGTAATGGGTGTGGGCTCTGGGCATCTTTGAACAACACAGCTGTCTTGTTATGTTGTAATAGTTGTACTAGACTCGTGATGGCGAACCTATGGCACGCATGCCGGAAGTGGCATGCAGAGCCGTTTCTGCTGGCACATGAGCCAACGCCCCAGATCAGGTCCACTGTGCATGCACGCATGCCTCCCTCCAGCCAGCTGATTGTTGGGAGGTCTGCTGTGCATGCACAGGGGGGGTGGGACATGCAGGGAGATGTGCGTGCACACACAGAGGTGTGGGGCGCGGGTGTGTGTGCACACATGTACAGGAGCACATGGTGCACGGGGGTCACGCATGCATGTGCAGGGGGTGGGGGGGTCATGCACACTTTCGCCCGCAATGACAAAAAGGTTAGCCATCACTGTACTACACCAAGGGATGCTGAAGTCTTTGAGGATGAGGAGAACAATGATCTTAGAGAGCAGAAGTGTGAATGATCAAAGTAGGGAGTTTTTGAAGTGTTTAGAAACATGGAAGGAACCACATAGAGAATCTGGAGGGCAGAAGGCTTTGATCTTGATAGGATAAAACCAGCAACTTGCTTCAAAGCGGGAAACCCCCTCCCCCCATTTTTGTCTCTCTACAAAGCAGAAGTAACCAACTGTTTTTCTACAGACCCCCCCCACATAGGTTGATAAGCGAATTAACACGTTTCCCCCCTTTTATTAATATAAACAGTTAAGTGAGCTTCATTGCTCAGTTATCATTGAAATTTACTTTCTGTTTTGCATATTGTAATTAGAATTATCTGCTTGCTTGTTGTTTGGTACACCTGCCATGTTTAAAGTATGCTTAGCTCCCCAGTGAAGCGTCCCTGTTAACTTTTGAGGAGTAAATCTTAATATCTCACACTGAACTTCTTTCTGTCCCTTCTAGGCGTGCCACGGCTGTTCCTCCAGCACGAAATGTGACTGTAGTGGACACAAAGGAGACAAGGTGAGTCTGGAAGGAAGTGTAAATTTGTGCTAGACATGGGGTCCCAAACCCCCAGTCCATGGCATGCCAGAAACTGGGCCATGCAAACATGCGAAGCCCCACCATGGGATGTAGGCAGCATATGAAATGACATCGCCTCTGGTCCACAGGAAAACCTCTCTCCACAGGACCAATCCCTGATGCCCAAAGGGTTGTGGGACCACAGCGCTAGACAGTCAACCCAAAGAACTGCTTTACAGATGTTCCTCCAGGAATCTCCAAACTTGGCAACTTTACCACTTGTGGACTTCAGCTCCCAGAATTCCTCAGCCAGTAGTTGAAGTCCACAAGTGGTAAAGTTGCCAAGTTTGGAGACTCCTACCCTTGGCGAAACACGCCAACGTATTTAGCATACATCAGTGACCAATGGTTCTCCCATTGCTTGGAATGTCTTATAGCTGGCTAGAGTGTGGTCTTTCCTCCACATGTCATAAGATGTTGTTGAATTCATCCCAAGATTTCTACAATCTCAAGCAAAAAAAATCTCACATATCCTTGACAGTCTTAATCCATTTGTTTACTGCCGACACGTCACGAAATTTCAGCTATTTTTATTTTTGTTTAGTTAATTTTTATTTCATTCTAGGGGTTTTGGGGTTCATCATTACATGTTCCATGCCTCTTCTTGTATAGCACATTGTGAATTACACTTTTTTAAATTATGTATAGCTCTAGTACCAAATCGATACAGATAAACTTTATGGGCACATGTGATCTGTTTCACCCACCATGCTAATTCCTAAATAGGTTTAGTTTTGGCTTAATGTTAAGGAGAAGCCAACCACAATGATTTGAAGGCCATGATTGATGGCCTAGCATTATACACAAAGTGGTCATGGCTTATTCTGCAAATCATGATTACACAGGGCATGGCATAACATGGTGTGTGAACCAGATCACTGAATTGGAGAAATCAGTTTTTAAAGTGAATTCACGAAAAGTCCTCCAAAAATTAGCTGTTTGGATCTGAAATTCCAAGCTGACTTGAAGAGTTTGAGTTTCTTCTATAATTTGAGCTGCTGTTACAGTTTTAGCATCAGCCTAATTAGGACGCTCTGTTTCTGAAGCACGCTTTCAGGCCGAACTACTTAGGAGGGGCGCCTTTTTCTCGCCAGGTGCTTCACGGAATGAGGTCATAACTTGGCTCAGGTGCTTCTTGAAGGTTCATGCAGATGTACCTGTGCCAAGCCCAGGGGTTTGTCTTTTTCTGGCAAGGAAGAAAGGTTAAATGAGGTTGCGTTGCCAAGAGCCCCAAGTTTTCTGATAAAAGTCAGAGATTTACTGTTCTGACACAATTTGGGACTGAAAAATTTGGAGAAAGCGAATTAGGTTACGCATTATCGGAGGGAATCTCAGAAGTGACAAAAACAGCAGTGGGTAGCTGGAATTAACTGTCAAAAGGTGTTCTACTTGTAATAAGCCACATTTTATCGAAATGTGCGGATGAGTTTTGACCTAATTGACATCCTCCATCTGATATTATTTGTTTTTAAAATTGATTGGGAAGGCGTATTCATTTTTGACTTAATTGTCAAAAGTCAATTCACGTCAGAGTCCACACCAGTGGTGGGATTCAAAAAAAAAAAATTATTACCGGTTCTGTGGGTGTGGCTTGGTGGGCATGGCAGGGGAAGGATACTGCAAAATCCCCATTCCCTCCCCACCCCACTAACCTGCTTTCCAGCTCCATTCTCCTGTGCAAGGCAACAAAAGAAGACCCAGCCGATCAGCTGGAGGCAGAGAATAGCTGGAGGGCAGGGCCAGGGGTGGGATGCTACCAGTTCTGCCTGGCTCTATAGAACAGGTAGCTCTGAAGAGCAGCAGACACTGAACCAGTTCTGTCTTTGCTGCTGTTTGGCCCACCCGCCCACCCGGCTGTTACCTGTCCACCCGGCTGTTACCTGTCCTTTATTTCCTGCTTTTTCAACCTCAGCTGTTTTGCGTGGCACAGCTGAGGTTGAAAAAGCAGGAAAAAAGTGGCTTTTCCAACTCTGCGCACCTGCGCGCAGCACTTTTCAGCTGTCCGGGTTGCACAGCTTAAGGTTTTTTACACGCATGCGCAAAATGTAGTCACCCACCCATAGTAACACTGATTGAATTCTACCCCTGGGCGGGGCCAGTCAGAGATGGTATTTGGCGGTTCTTCGAACTACTCAAAATTTCCACTACCGGTTCTCCAGAACTGGTCAGAACGTGCTGAATACCACCTCTGGTCCACACTTTAAATCTCCAAATGAAGGCTTCACATAGCCCCTACCCTTTAATTCTACCTACGGCTTTGGGGAAGCTGCTTTATGAATAGCATTGAGGCAGGTCCTGTGCTTAGTGCCACAAAGTTGGGTGCATGTATCCATCCCATTTATGCTTAAAGCAATATGTGAAGATTTTACTTTTCCCATCATCCCTGATCATCAAGATTGGACAGGTGGGTTTCAAACCCCTTTCTACAATGCACTACAACTGCAAGCTGCAGACGATTACAGGTAGTCCTCAACTTATGACCACAATTGAGCTCAACATTTCTGTTGTTAAGTGAGACATTTGTTAAGTAACTTTTGCCCCATTTTACAACCTTTCTTGCCACACTTGTTAAGTGCATCACCACAGTTGATAAGTTAGTAACACAATTGTTAAGTGAACCTGACACCCCCATAGACTCTGCTTGTCAAAAGGTTGCAAAAGGGAATCACATGACCTTGGGAGACAGCAGCGGTCATAAGTATGAGTTAATTGCCAAGCATCTGAATTTTGATCACGTGATCCTGGGGATGCCACAAAGGTCATAAGTGTGAAAAGGGGTCATAAGTCATGTTTTTCAGTGCCATTGTTACTTTGAATGGTCACTAAATGAAGTGTTGTAAGTCGAAGATTACCTGTATTCTAAACATGCCATTCACCATTAATTATAATAACAATAACAACAGCAACAACAACAATAATAATAATATAATTTATTGTTATTGTACGTATATACATACACATACAACGAAATTCACATAACACCCGGAGACTAGACCCAACATGCACACACACACATGTTAACCCCCCATTGGCCAAAGTTCCCTGCCCCCTAAAAACACACAAGCATCCACAATATGAAACTAACATATTAGGGAAAAGATTTTTGTGCAGTTGTCTACCTGTATATAATTTTTTTCACATGTATGTACCAGTGGTGGGATTCAATTTTTTTTACTACCAGTTCTGTGGGCGTGGTTTCGTGGGCGTGGCTTGGTGGGCGTGGCAGGGGAAGGATACTGCAAAATCCCCATTCCCTCCCCACCCCGCTAACCTGCTTTCCAGCTCCGTTCTCCTGTGCAGGGCAACCAAAGAAAACCCAGCCAATCAGCTGGGACTCGATGGGAGGCAGAGGATAGATGGGGTTGTCGGGGCCAGTCAGAGGTGGTATTTGCCGGTTCTCTGAACTACTCAAAATCTCCACCACCAGATCTCCAGAACTGGTCAGAACCTGCTGAATACCACCACCTCTGGTATGTACAGGTTTGATAAGAGTAGTCTTTGAAGGGCTGCTCCATTTCAAAGAGGTCCTGCTTTGCAAAGCTACTGGCCAGCTTGCTTCTAGAAGCAAAGAGAAGCTACCTATAACTTTGGTCTGCTCTGTTTTCCAGCCACATACAAGTGTTGGCAAGTGTCCGGAGTACGTGCACCTGAGTTTTCTCCACTGGAGGAGTCCTCTGAAAGATCTTTGGGCTTGGCATTTGTATCCTGTCAATCTTATACCTTGTTGAACCAGATTCCTCCTAAGAGGAGATCCTTGTAGCTGCTCTCCAGAGAGGAATGTTGCCCTCTGCATTACATGGGGCGTTGCTCATTCTTCGTGTTCCTTGCTGAGGCACAGATTGTTCTGTCTTGAGCCAGGTCCTCAGCATCCCAGTTCTTCAAGAAGTGGTCAAAAGTGCACACTGGTTTTGCTTGCTGGAGATCTAGCACTTGTCTGCCCTGCTGGTGTCTTTTGGTTCTTTAATTCCAAAACAAACAATGGCCTTCAGAGAGAATTATCTGCCTGACAGGCTAATTGCCAGGCACCCAAAATCTGATCACATGACCATGGGGATGCTGTGATGGTTGTAAGGACAAAGACCGGTTGTAAGTTTTTCAGTGCTGTCATAAGTTCAGATGGTCACTAAACAAATCTGGTAAGTCGAAGACTGCCTGTATTTGTATCTTAATAATGCCCCAGTTATTCTGTTGTTTGCCTTTTCCAAAACATCATCTTCCAATGCTCTGCCTTCTTCGTGTTGACCCAAATTCAGATCCCTTTAACCTAATTATTTTTCCCTCAAAGAAAAAAAAAAGTTATCTGTTTTTAAAATTGGTGCTTGATGTGCCATAAAGTCTCCCATTATAGCCCATGATTCAGTGTCTCTGGAAAGATGCCAGCGTTATAATTTCCCCTTGAGAATTATCTGTGCTGTTCAAACTTGTAACCGTTTCCAAAATCAAGGGAATTTATTCACTTGGATTCCTTGTCCTTTAAAACAAAAGTAATAAAATAGTATCATCCAAGCTTCAAGGTTTAGGTCTGGACTTGTTTGAACCTTCTGTGAAAGATATTGGGGTCTTCTTTTTAAGGCGTAGGTCTCTTAGGAGCAGAATATTGACAATTATACCCGCTGCCTTTTTACTCTTTTATAAGTCTAAAGCAATGAGTTGCGAGGTTTGAACAGCCAACCAAAATGAGGGATTTAACCTGAATTTGGAAGGCAAATTCTTATTAAGAATTCCAGGTACTTTCTCCAATGTTGCCTTTTAATTCACGTGGAACTTGGACTGCCTACAGCTGTTTGCTGGTGTCCTCAGTAGCTCTCTATTTCATGCAAGGATTAGGTAGTCCTATGACTGAATTCTGAGTGAGAAGCTATTTTGCAGTGTCTCCAATTTAGGTCCTATTCAGAATGTAGATTCGTGAGCCAAGTAGGATCTCAAAGAAAACTTCCAGA